TGAGCGCACGTTGGAGAGAAAGATGCCCGGCAGCGGAGTGCGATAACCCCGCCTGCGGAGTCTCACCAGCGAGCCGGCCCGTTTTCCTCTCCTACGGCGTCTCACCGCGTGACGAAAGGTGAGCGCACCTTTGACTAGAATGTCCAGTAATTCCACGGAAGAGAGCAGGAAAGTTGGAAGTAACTCCGCTGGAGTTGTTCCACGAATGTTCAGGAGCTCATCTCTGGTGAAAGAGCTCCGGGAATCGCAGCAGGAAACATAATTAACAACAAAAACAACAAAAAACGAAGCGCACCGAAGCACCGAGGCGGCCATCAACGGCGCCATCTTGATCACCTCAAAGAAAATGGGTGACCAATTAGACGATCCCAGCTATATGCAACGAGATTTTAATAGACTAATCTATTGATTGTGATCCGCCGACAACTACAATGATGATCAATAATGTGATTGAGCTAAGGTTAGTTCTGAAATAAGAAATAGACCTTGGGTGCCGCGGTCAGCTTCTTCTCCTGACTCTTGACGGGCCGCAGTACGACGCCATGTTTGATCCGCTCCATCATCTCGTTCACCGCCTTCGCCTTCACGTCGTCGCCTTCGCCCGCTGGAGAGAGACGAGTTTACTATTGATTACTCTACAAATGTCCACAAGAAACCACACCGGATTCATAGTTCTACTCCGATAAATAAGTACAGCCTGTGAGGACACTAACACACCGGTGATCACAGACCAGCAGGAGACTCACCTGCAGGCTGCTCGGCCTTCACCAAGGTCTTGGAGCCTTTGGAGGTCTTCCTCATGATGGCGATCAGAGAGCTGAGGGGGAGAACCATACCAATGAGCCATTATTAGATTAAGCATGAATATGTCTATTTAGAGACATTGTTGGACTTGTTGATGACACTGTGCATGATGGCCAATCAGGAGACAGAAAGCCAGAGGAGACACAGGAAGTGGTGTCATGACTAGAGTACACACTCTAACATACCACACTGATGACATCATTCATGTTTTTTTCTATCCTTACCTGAGGGGGTTGCATCTGGAGGGGGGAGGAGGTGGTGGAGGAGGCGGGGGAGGAGGAGGAGGTGGGGGGGGAGGGGCAAGAGGTTGGGGGAGCCCAGGTTCAGGGGGAGGGAGGGCCGTGCTTGTCTCCATGGTGACCTCATTCTTGGTCTCCTGGAGATTGTGGACTGAGGAGACAATAGACACAATTTAGTTACACTTAGTAGTTTAGTAGTTAGTAGTAAGTAACACTACCAGCATGTACTACTGTAACAGTACTACCATGTACGACAGTACTACTGTAACGCTACTAGCATCTACTACAATGTTACTGTAATGCTACTACTATGTACTCCAGTACTACTGTAACAGTACTACCATGTACTCCAGTACTACTGTAACAGTACTACCATGTACGACAGTACTACTGTAACGCTACTACCATGTACGACAGTACTACTGTAACGCTACTACTATGTACTCCAGTACTACCGTAACACTACTAGTATGTACTACAGTAGTACTGTAACACTACTTCGATGTACTACAGAACTACTTCAACACTACTTTCCTGCAGCAGGTCAGGGTTTGTATTAACACCACAGAAGAAGATGTCAGTGGAGACACACATCTATCTTCAATCCATCACTCGTTTTATTGATCCAATAACTTTGATTTCATGATACAATGAGAAACATATTTGGGGATTTTGTGGAATAATAAAATGCACCAAAAGAATCCAAAGAGCATCAATCAATGTGACGTATTGAGTCAATCATTCTCTGATCAGTGTGTTCACCTCGGCCCTCCAGCTCCTCGTTCTTCTTCTCTGCTTTCTCCAGTCGTCCATCCACCTCCTTCTTCTCTACCTCCAGCAGCTCCAGCTGCCTCTGCAGATTCTCCACCTGCTTCATCACAGAGTTCTGCTCCACCTGGGCCTCCAGAGCCTCCACCTACACACAGAGGGACACACACACGATAGTTAGACTACAGGACGTAACCCTGATGACAGACCTACATCATGTGTATGACGTCATAGGTGAAGCTGCTTCACCTCCTGACGGTGCTGCAGTCGCTCCTCCTCAAGCGTCTTGGTGATGGTGGCAACGTCCTCCAGAGCTTTAAGGAGCTGAACACTGGGCTCAGAGCTCTGCAGCAGCAGCATGCTCTGCCTGTTGGCCTCCTTCTGCCTCACCAGCATCTGAAGTAGAGCATGAGGAGGAGGATGATGAAGAGGAGGAGGAGGACAGGGAAGAAGAGCAGGGAGAGGAAAAGACGGAGGAGGAAGAAGAAGAGGAGGGGGAAAAGGAAGAAGAGGAGATGAGTCTGTTCTTGTCCTGCAGTTCAGTGGATATGAGGTTTCCTCAATCAGGTTACTAACACACATGAGTTATTAATAACAGAAGAACAGCGGTCAGCGTTCATCCAACAGAAGGTATGAGTTACATCATCAGACTTCTCACAATGAACACATCTTCTTCATGTTTCTCTGCTTCATCCCCACTTGGAGCCTTCGTTCACCTGGTGAGCGTACGTCTCAGCTGTCACTCTCAGGCTCTGCTCCAGGTCCAGCTGGTCCTTCATCCCGTCGTACTCCTGGGCCGCCATGGTGGAGACTAACGAGGCAGGGAGAGGGTTAGCCTGTTAGCATGCTAACACAACAGACCAACCTCAAAAATCCACATTAACATGTTACAGGTTTCAACTGTTAACATGCTAAGAGAAGGTTAAGTGTGTGTTTTGAAGCATCAGTTGCTTGTTGTTGTCGGTCACCTCTGTTGAATCTCTTGATGGTTTTACGTTGCTGCTCAACAGTCTCACGGAGCTCCTTCATCTCGGCTTGATCTTTCTCAGACTGCAGGGAAACAAAGAAGTCAGTCAAAGGTCAAAGATGAATCTATAGTCAATACAAACACTTTCATCGCATAGGAGGAGAAGAAGAGCAAGTCCTTTTTCATCCAGGACAGATGCCTGTCAAGTCATCAACTCAAGATAAATATACAAATAAACCAACTCATCCAACCGAGGAACACATCAAAGATGAAGGACCAGCTCTCCCTCCTCCCCACGGTGCATAAAACGCCTCAGCAGCCCAAATGCGGCAGAAACCCGTCAGATCGCCGATCCTTTCATAGCATGTTCCACGCTCAGCCGTCCCTTCAGAACCGGTACCGGCTCCACCCTGCTGGCCCTCTGAGCCGGTTCCTGCGTGTTAGTCAATTGGACCAAAGGCAAACAAAACAAACATAAAAGCATCCCAGAGACCCTGGAGACAAGTTTTTAAGAGTTTTACAGAATATGCACAACTCCCCCAGCTCAGGATCAAGGTGCGCTCTTTACAGGTGATGATCGTCCTTCTGACTGGTGACAAAGACACCAACATGATCTGCATAAGCAGATACAATGAGAGGACGATGAAACCTCAAGGACCTGATAATCAAAAGCTCGGGAGTCACTGTCTTGAGGAGGTCAGGTCAGAGGGAAAGCAGAAAGTGGCGACCAGGCAGACGCTGGTCTGAGAGGATGAGATTCAGAGACCCAGCAGGCACCACACAACACGCACGCTTTGTTCCTTATGTTCACGTTAATGTCAGGAGACCACACTGCTCCTCGACGCCGGTTAAGGGCCAATAGAAATCTTTTCTTTTATATCTAACAGTACAAAATGTAATGTTCTTCCTGATGTCAGATGACAGAACGGCTCCTGCCTTTGCAAACGCGGCGCTGATACTCGACCTGTGATCTGACAAATAAATCTACCAGAACCAGAGAAGTTGTTTGGCTGAATCCTTCCAGATGTCCCCAACCGGGCGTCCAATTTAGATCACGTTCGCTTGCTTTGCGCGTTCTTTCAAACCCCGACACTGAGACACCACTGAGTCGACCTCTCAACCTGCACAGCAAGGAATCAAAAGCTAGGCTATGTAGCTGACCGCAGATGGGACAGCCCTGTCTTATCCCTCGCTGTACAGGGATCGGCCTCGTCTTCACCATTCATAGAGCTCCACTGTACAATAAATTCACCCAAACCACAGGACCAGCACCAAAACCACTGCAGAAAACAGATATGAGCGGTCCACCCTGTCGAAGGCCTTCTCCTGATCCAAAGACACAACACCAACGTTCACTTCTTCTGCACACATACAAAGTGTCTCTGATGAGGAAAGCAGTGAAAGCGCCGCCCGCTGACATATCATGTTCTCAGACTCTCCAACAAAACACTGTGCCGCGTCCTGTGCAAGTATATTCTGGAAGCGAAACCTAAGCGGAGAGACCATCGATCCTTGGTGCCGACACGATGCCATCTGACTGACAATCCGACCGGCTCTCTCCTCCGGGCTGAGCTGAGGAAACTCCTCCGCTTGGCTCGGCTCTTTCTCTCCATTGGCTTCACCGCCGCCACGTCTGCAGTACCGCTCCACACAAAGCAGTAACACATTTCTTAAGACTCACCGGATCAGGAACCACAGTGACAGACCTGAAGATCAGGAACATTCAAATCAACCGCCACTCCCAGAACCACCCTAACCAGAAGAGAAGAAGAAGAAAGCTGCTTCTGCGCCTTCTCACCTGAGACGTCAGCCCTTCTATCCGTCTCTGCTGTTCATGTATCCTAGTAACAAAAGCCTTCTTCTCCTCCAATAAGGTGTTTACTGTTTCCCCCAGTTCTGAAAACAACAACAGAGGATCAGCACATGGTGAACGTTATTTATATACAGATTACAGCCCAATCAGCAGCAGTACAGAGTCTAGTTTTACATCACATCACATGTCATTTATCTGACGCTTTTATCCAAAGCGACTTACAATAAGAACATTTCAACCATAAGGACACAAACTCAGAAGAACAAGGAACAAGAAAGTGTGATTTCATCAAATACGCCAATTTACAACTTGCTGTAGATAAGTAGCGTTACAAGTACAATTTAAGTGCTACAATTTGTTAGTCTTTAGTGGAGGTAGATATCCAGCATTTACGTGAGTATAATACTACGTACTGTACCTTCAACTTGTGTGAGTATAATACTACGTACCTCTAACTTGTAGTTGGTACTGTGTGAAGGTGTCAGGACTCCCGTCTGCAGCGTCTGCGTCCATGGCGATGCAGTCAGAGATACTCGGAAGCATCTCGTCCAAACCCGGACGAGGCGACAGGCTCATGTACTTTAACTTCCTGTTCTCAGAGTTCAGCTGGAGGTTAAAGGTCACAGACGTCAATGAAGACACACACAAAATTGAAAATAATGTTTCATCCTGGTGCTGAAATAACTGCATTTTGATGTGAATATATGTATATATATATATATATATGTGTTTGCATGTCTGACCTCCGTGGCCACGGCCTCTGCATTCTCCCGGCACGACTTTTCAATCTCCAGCTGAGTCTGCAGAACGCACACCTCCTCAATCACCATCTGAGACACTGAGGACAGGACATGTTTGAGCTGGTTGGAGTAGAATGTACAAGCCCCCCCCCCCACACACACACACACACACACACACCCGCCACATTTTTTGTCTGTTCTATAGAATAATTTATGAGGAG